AGTTGGGGTGATGACAGTTAAAATGGCTTTTCCTGAGGCTGTTTTACCAAAGTCTCCTCTGTTCAGATAACATGGTTGGGGAGAGAGTAAAATGTCCTGTAGGCTGGATACTTTATTTGGGCTGTGTCTTTCCTCCTGATCTAAGAACCTCAAGGCAGTGGATAATAAATATCTGTCTGAAACAACTTGAGCTTTCATTAAATGAATAAAACCATTCCATTATAAATTCCGTTCCCTTTTTGGGGGGGTATAATATGGGGCTGGGGAACCTAGACCAGGGTTTCCTAAACTTGGGTCCCCAGCTGTTTTTGGACTACAACTCCCATCATCCATAGCTAGCAGAACCAGTGGTCAGGGATGATGGGAACTGTAGTCCAAAATCAGCAGCAAACCCAAGTTTGGGAAACCCTGCTCTAGATGTTGGCTGGGGAGCCAGTGGCCCATCAGACCTAGCTGGTGATGAGAATTGTAGTCCAATCAGGACAGCTCTGGTCTAATCACTGTGACAAAGAACACAGTGACTTGGCTAACCTCTGTGAGCAGGAATGGGGCTTTCTTGTTTCTCCCTTCCTGGCATAGCCACTTGCCTCCTATAGGAGGCTGCTTCTGAAGGTTGGGAGACCCTGTGGAAAAGCATGGGATGTAGGCCGAAGGGTTTCAGCATAGAGAGAGAAAATCTGTAAAGTCGGCCATCTTGAATCCAAGCTGAAGCACTGGGGACTTATGCTACATTTTCATCTTCCTTCCCCCTTCTTTTTTTTAAACCTGATCCAGTTCACCGCTGCACACCTGCACACCTCATCTGGGCTGCAGGAAGACTGCACCACTTCTGGAAATGAGTGTTTATATCAGCCTGAGTTTGTACTGAACAGTAGTACCTCGGGTTAAATACTTAATTCGTTCCGGAGGTCCGTTCTTAACCTGAAACTGTTTTTAACCTGAAGCACCACTTTAGCTAATGGGGCCTCCCGCTGCTGCCGTGCTGCCAGAGCATGATTTCTGTTCTCATCCTGAAGCAAAGTTCTTAACCCGAGGTAATATTTCTGGGTTAGCGGAGTCTGTAACCTGAAGCGTATGTAACCTGAAGCGTATGTAACCCGAGGTACCACTGTATATGGTGGGTGTGAAGGGAAGTGCAGCAATAATCTTGGTGTCAATACAGTGCAATACAGTACATGTTGTTCTGGGGCAATTCACTCCTCCCAGTGGCCTCCTCTTGACTACTATTATTTGCTAACTTGGGGCAGCTGTTATGGAGGGGACACTTCTTCCTGTTAGTTTCGATAGGCTGCATGTGGTCAACATAAACTCAATTTTAAAAGTGATGGAAAGCAGAATCATAGAAGTGTAGTGTTGAAAGCGACCCTGAGGGTCATCTAATCCAACTTCCTGCAATGCAGGAATCTCAACTAAAGCATCCATGGCAGATGGACATCTAACCTCCTAGGAAGTAGAATCCACCACCTCCCAAGGGAGGCCGTTCCACTGTCCAACAGCTCTTACAATCAGAAAATTCTTTCTGATGTTTAGTTGGAATCTCCTTTCTTGTAACTTGAAGCCATTGGTTCGGGTCCTACCCTCCAGAGCAGGAGAAAACAAGATTGCACTGTCTTCCATGTATATTTGAAGATGACTATCATATCTCCTTTCAGTCTCCTCTTTACCAGGCCAAACATACCCAACTCCCTCAACCGTTCCTCACACAACTTGGTTTCCAGACCCTTCATCATCTTGGTTGCCCTCCTCTGCACACATTCCAGCTTGTCAATATCCTTCTTAAACTGTGGTGCCCAGAACGAAACGCACGACTCCAGGTGGGGTCTGACCAAGGCAGAATAGAGTGGTGCTATCATTTCCCTTGATCTTGACACAACCTGCTGAAACAGGCCAGCATCCTGTTCTTCCAGCGGCTAACCAAGTTCTTATGTGATGTTCTGAGTGCAATTACCAAGTGGTCTTCGGAAGCTTACTGCTCCCAAAATAATAACAGCATGGCATGAGGGTGTACAACTTTCTAAGTCCTGCAACGTCCTTGGGGATGATGTTCTCTATTGCAGGAGCAGCTGGAAAAGAGTTGCTGCTCCGACTCAAATAAATGCACTCCTTTGACCACAGCAGCCAAACAATCGCCTCCTCAGCATCCTAAGTAACCAAAGGCCTTGTGAGGAAGAGAACACGAGGCTCACATCATCATTTGTCCTGTCAGCCAAATTGAGATATGACATGCCTATTATTAGTACAGGGCTTGTTTGTTTTTTAAATAGATGGCTGCTGTTCCGTTTATTCATTTTCATGCTTTAAAAAACCGGGCATGTTTCAGAACTGGCTTCAGCCACCACAGTGTTGCTAAATTGGTTGAGAGGTGCCATCTTGTGGTGAACCAACACAGAAAGCATGGTCTTTTAATTTGTAGTGATTTTGCTAGCAGGATCCTGTCGCAGGAAGCCCCCCAGTCATGTTATACATTGTGTGGGCATTCCTCTTCCCTTAGAAAATGATGTGAATCTATCAAGGTGCTTTCTGAAAAAAATTGGCTGAGCAGGACGCTCTAAAGCTACCTTAAACTTTGCTTCACACAAAAGCCAGTTACTCCTTAATCCCTTCTTTACTGATGTCTCAGAATAATCCCATGCCATCTACTTAGAAGTACAGTAACTCCTATTGAATACAGGACTGCAGCCTAAAATACAGAACCCCCATCTGTTGAGTGTCAGGAATGGCAGTCAGGAGCAGGTTGGCAATAAATCACACAACATCAGTGAAGTTAACTCTTTATTCAAGGAAACACGGTCGGCCCAGAAGGCCAGGCCTAGTGAGCATAGCAACTTGTCCCGATAAATCTTGTCCCTATGAGGCAGTTGGTAGGGACTGAAGGTCTCCACCTTCCCACCGCTGTCTAAGTGTCCTCCTCCTCCAGGTCCTTCCCAAGCAATCTGAGACTGTCGCCTGCCTTTGTTCCTCCCTCTTCATAACTCTTCTGCTTCTGGGAGACCAGAGGAAAGAGGAGCTTGTCGCAGCAGGAGGGGAAAGACACCTATGACTCTTCACCAGCCTGCCTCATCTCTGCCTCTGTCCCTCCCTCCTCTCCAGCCTCTGCTTCTGTCTCTGCTTCTGGGCTTCTCTCTATCACAGATTCTGCCCACTCACTAAACCCAGTTATTTCTTCAACTTCCAACACCTCCTCCCCCCACTTGTGGTTGTCCACCAATCCCTTGGCTCTGAGCCTTCTTCCCTTGGGGGCTCCCTAGCTGGCGCCTCTCGCCACTTCTCTGAATCCAGCCAGTCCTTGAAATTGAAATAATTCCAGACTCAATTTAAACCTAATTTGTTCCAATTTTAAGAAGGCTTCTATCAACAGATGATTTTGTTGCGGTCTGAATTTCATAGTATTTTCCCAGCTAAACTTTGGAACATAAATTAGCAGATAATCAAACAGCAGCCTTCTCCCTCCCCCTTTTTATTAAAGCAGAAGCTTCAGTATCTATGTACATCATCGAAGTAATCCCCCTAGTAAATGTCAGGGCTTGCTAATATTAAATAATCACTGTATTTATTGCTGCCTTGATTTTTTTAGATAAGGCTTGAGAAAGCATGAAATTAATAACACAAAGTTGAAAAGAGCTGTCTACAGCCAGTCATCAAGTCATTTATATAATTTCCCCTTTATTGCTTCAGGCTGTGTTTGGATTGCTATGTGGGGAGCTACTGGTGCTGATTGCAAGCTTGCAGGTTGCTGATTATCCGAGGTGCCCTCTTCTGATTTGGCTATTATATACAGTAGGAACAGACAGATTTGCCCATTTCCAACCTGTGTCAGTTTGGCAGGCCATTCTGCCACATCTTTTCAGTAATGATTAAAAAATGTACCGACAAAATTATGTGGGGGAAGTTATTTGTTGAAATAAAAGCAGTTACTGGACAAAACACTTTCAGATATCCAGAGCTGGTGCTGCTGAATCCTTTCACAGGAGATAACACCCCGAGTGCAAATCCGTAGTAAGGTCTCTCTTAGTGGCAGCCTGGCTCATAATGAGATATGGGAAGAAAAAGGGGGGGAGCTTCTTTGAACAAACCGGTGTAATAAATTAGGGCAAATAATGCTTGTGGGGGAAAACGACTAATAAAATAAAGTTAGCACAATGTATGAAGCATAAAGGCTCTTTTGCAACTGACTGGTGCAGGTTTATTATGACTAAAAATGAAAATAAAGGATTTCCCTCACATTCTAAAACTTTTAGGTTAGCATGAGCTGCAGGGTAGGAACTTACCGTACATTATTTTGGATGTGTTGCCTAAACTCCATCTTCTGGGTTAGAGTGGGATATTTTATGTATGATATTGTTATATGTTGCAAGAATCTCTCTTTTTTTTTTTTAAACCATTTATCACAAAATACGCATTTAGAATGTCATCCTGTTTAGCATTGTAGGAAAAACAATTGTTGTGGCCTCTCCTGGCCTGAGGTTGTCCGGCCAGAGTTATTCATGCTCCTGTTACATGAGGGTTAGATTACCGCAATGTGTTGCTTGTGGGACTGCCATTTAACTCCAAGACATTCCTTTGGTCCAAATACAGTGGTACCTTGGGTTACATACGCTTCAGGTTACATATGCTTCAGGTTACAGACTCCGCTAACCCAGAAATAGTGCCTCGGGTTAAGAACTTTGCTTCAGGATGAGAACAGAAATTGTGCTCTGGTGGCGCGGCAGCAGCAGGAGGCCCCATTAGCTAAAGTGGTGCTTCAGGTTAAGAACAGTTTCAGGTTAAGAACAGACCTCCAGAACGAATTAGGTACGTAACCAGAGGTACTACTGTAATGCCAGGCTCCCAGCCTCACTGCCACTGCCTGGCTGTCAGAAAGCCTTGCTGATCCACTTGTCAACCACCCAGAGACCTACCAGTAAATCCCAATCTACCTTCTGCCTACCCCGGCTCCAAACCTTTGGAAGTGGGCACGCCATAAATGAATCGGTGTACAAAAAAAATCCAGTTGCAAAACGTTTGGGCACCCATCTCAAGCTGGGTTGTTTACATTTTATTTGTCAAGTTACTGGTGGAGTCAGTTTTAAGTTAAGAAATAATAATTAAAAAAGAGGAAATAGTTAGCATGATGGAGTCAGAACACACAAAAACATTTGGTACAGTATACATATTTAACCAATGAGCACAGGAAGCCTCATGTGTTGTTACTGCGGCCATCTACGTATAACGCTGGCCATGACTGATGTTGGAACATCTGCAGGTGTAAACTAATTCACTGCGAATGTCACCGGGAGCAGCAAAACTACTTATCAGCTGTGATGCAGTGAACAGCATATCCCAGAGATGACTGCAACAGCAGTGCTGTGAATGAACGATTCAGAATGTGTTATTTTACAAAGCTACCTAGTGTTTCCACAATGTGACACCCACTAGTTGCACCGCAGTAGAGACAAAGGAGCATTTTGTAAGCAAACGGATCTTAAATGCAATCTTCATGGAGGGGGGGAGGAATAATATCTACTATTATTTCTGTTTATGTCTGCATGCTGAGTGGTTACCCAACTCATCTGCAGAAGTCGTAAGGATGTCAGCAGCTAGTGGGTCAAACTACTGAATGCCATATTCATTAAAATGGTTGCAATACTAACAGAGGAAGCGACAAACATAAAACTCTCAACTCCCTTGCACGTATTAAAATTCCATAATCTTTGAAGAAAAGATGAGCAACAGCTAAAATGGGTTTTCTTAAACGGGTCCAGATGAAATAGCTTGAATTTTAGGTGAAACGGGGGACAAAGAGCAGGTTTGTTTGTTTTTTAAGGCAAAATTCCCAATTGCAAGACACGTGTCACAACTGGACACTACGTGCAAAGTGACACGCACAACGCCACTCTTGTAAGTGGCAAGCTATATAGAGAGCCCATGCCCCTATCTCCTATGAAGCACTTTCACATAGTCACTTGCCAATGCTTGCATAGGCCAAAAGCTGCAACCCTCTGTCGTTATTATTGAGTAAGCAGCAGTGAGAACAGCGGTAAATTTCCAAGTAAACCTGCACGGAATTTCACTGGGTCTCACATAACTTCCACAAGCCTTGGTGGCGCAACGTGCTCTAAGGTTCTGAAGAAAACCCTTTATCTGCTAAAGGTGCAATTTATTTTAACTCAGCTGCACCACGTCAATCCACTCCAGCTAGCCTTTGTGGCTAGAACCTGCCTCCACTTCTTACGTGACTGAGTCAACTCATACTCACTGATCAGTTTAAAGAGTACCTGCAGTTAGGTAACCTTTCTATTAGTCTTTGGGCAAGTCCAAGCCCTGGTGCAGGTTTGTGAATGATAACGTTGTTGTTGTTTGTACTAAATGCAAGCTTGCATTAAGGAGAAACAGATTGGATCTGCTTGAGGTTGCCCACTTTGACGCCAGAGAAGCATTTTGGCCTGCCCCTACTCAACTACCTCAGTCCACTGTCACTGAAAGCTCTTCAGTCTCTGCTTTGGGGCTGTTTGTGGGCCTGGGAGAATCTAGAGGTCATCGCCACCTGCTCTTTACGGCATGAGTCAATGGAGAGTCTTATCTCCCTACCAATGCTTCCATTAAGAAAGGAATACTTCCAGCTCAGGGGAACAGCCCTCCTCCTCCAACCAGACTTCCAGGGATCTTGCCTCGGCCTTTTGGGGGACTCTGACTGACATCACAATTCATTCGAGAACCTTTTAGCACAGGCTGGGGAACCTTGGACCGTCCAGACATCATTGGATGCCAGCTCCCATCAAGCCCAGCACAGCCAATGATCAAGGGTGATGGTAGCCCACCAACATCTGGAGGGCTGAAGGTTCTCCATCTCTGTTTTTGCAGGAAATGCTTATGAACTCAGTACACAGCTAACGTGCGTAGCATTTCAACCAAACTCTTCACCACAGCCAAGGTTGACTGGGATGCAGGAGGGGGTAACTGATTGGATAATCCAAAAGGCGGAAGCTACTTGGTGTGGACCAAGCATGTGATGTGCAAACACAGCTAGAAGAGTGCTACATTGTCGGCAGGCGCAGTGCTACTGGTATGAAACAGACTGGGGCTAGCAGCATTGCTTAGGGGATAGCGTTCTCCATTTTCCAAAATGTCAGGAGGAAACGATGACAGGTGTCCTGCTCAAGAAGCAGTGAGCTGGACAAGGGATACCAATCTAGCCAGAAGGGCACCGTGTCAACAAGCTTTCCCTGAGCCCTCTGTGTCACACTGCTGAATGCTACATTGAAGGAAAATCTAGGCAAGCAATAAGTCCTCATCAACTCCGAGTCCCTGTGCTTCTTTGCTTTGAAGGCGAGGTCATTACAGTCCTGTACGGCCACAATTTTGCCCACTCCTGAAACTGCCCGGTGGATGATCCATTCCTTGGTTCAGAGGGAACAGATAACAAGCGCTAGCCTTCCAGCCATGCAGCTATGGTACGGACGTTTCACCAAGCTGCAGGAGGCGTGTCTGGTGCTCTTTGAATGAAATGTATCTTAGCTTCCTCCCTAAGTGAAGCCTTTTCAGAATATCTATTACAGAGAAAAACAAGAGCCATCAGAAACAGGATAAAAACTTCAAACAGGGGTCACCAACGTGGCACCCGTAGGCCTTTCCAGGAGCTGCTCTGCTTGCCTCCACTGAAGTCTTGAAGGAAGCATTTTACAGGAGCCAATAGAATAGGTTACAGTAGGGGCATGGTTACATTACACGGGAGTGCGGTGCTCATGAGAGTTTCACAAATTTGAAAATGTCTGGTGAACCCTGAAAATCAGCAGGTGCAACACAGAGTCTAATGGGAGGCAAGGAACAATCGGTCATTGGCTTTCATGGACAAATAAGTTTTGAGCTGCATTTTTTTTAAAGCTGATATCATCCAGTGGACTGTTGTTCTATAAATCTGGTAAGGCAACCACTTGTGGGACGGATTGGGAGGGGGGAGAAAATGAGGCAGATTAGTCTGAAAACAACTGGCATTATTTAATTTCAAGTATTTCCTCCTACCACATCCACCTTAAAGAAGCCAGTTGCAGAAATCTTTTTTGATACGCCAAGGTTTTCATTTGCAACGTCTTCAGATTTAAGAGTGTCGTTTTTTTACGTGCACAGACCCAGGTTTGCTGTCGTGCAGTACATGAAACAGGCCTGTACTGCCATGTTCATTACATGCTCCAATAGCTATTAATTAAAAACAGAACAGAGAGGAGTTTCCAAGAAAATAAAATAAGAGCAGGGCAACCACTTCAGAGGGTGGGAAGATAGGAGCCATTGGTGGGTTTATGAATATTGTCATCTTCAAATTGCTTTCTGCTTTTCCAAAGGGTGTACACAGGTAACTAGACAAGGAACAAACAAAAACCCCAAACAAACAAGGCTCTTGACCCAAATGTTAAAGGAGGTCACTCAAGGTTGCTGTTCAAGATGAGGAGTCTATAGATAAGAGTCTTCAGGAGGGCTTGATTTCAGCTGCTATCAAGCATTAAGACACTTTTCCGTAGTCAATGATGAGCAAAACTGCAAGGAGTTGAACAAGAAGAAAGTCAACACAACTCAACAAGACACATCCTGGAGTTGAACGAAAAGTCAGCCATGAGCATCCTGAGGGGGCATCATCATCTCTTACCTACCACTGGTTCAAAGTCAGTATCAGTTATCTTCTACTACAGTTACAGGTGCTAGTTTTATGAATTTAGCAATACTGAAAGCAGTGTCAATCAAGTGGGGGCTCCCTTTGCCCGAAGGCAAAGCAGACACATTTGCTAAACTGATCATTTGTTTGAGGAACAAAAGATGCAAAGGTCCCAGTCATACAATTTAGCAATAGGGAGAGACTATGGTTAAAAAGCTGCCCCCCAGAGGTTTGTCTGTAACTCGTTTTGGTGCAAAGGATGCAAAAAAAAGAAGAAGCTTATTTCAAACCAATTAGTTAGTGAAATAAAAAAAAAAGACATTCCATGAAAGGTTTGTAACAGATACTCCTGTCCTCTCTCTATTATAGAAATAAGAAAGGATTTGACGACACATACACACTGCTGCACAAGCCTGATGAGCTCTTAAGATTAAAAGCAAAGCAGAGCAAGGAACTGCTGTGCATTGAAACTAAAATGCTGTGTTTCATTGCCCTCTTATGTTTAAGTCAGTTGTCAACGCCTCCGCATGAGGCTAACAGCGAATTTAGCCTATGGACAGAGGCACGCTTTTAGGTCACTGACCAAAGCAGAACACCCTTGTGTAAGTGGATAAGGCTCAAGTAAAGACACGCTTCCTCTTTGCAAGACGTAGAAATGAAGGGTCGCAAGAGATGCCACCTGCGATGAGTTGCAGTCCTACACAAAAGCAGTCAGTAACCATTTTCAGCTTTGGGAAGCTCATCCACAGATTCACGCTGGGCCTAACCACTGAGGAACAGACCCAGGAGTGGCACTCCCAGCCGACTCTTCGCCAGAGCAGGGAGGAGCCATTTCTGCTCCGCTCTCCCTGTTTCGCTTCGGTCCCATCTTGCTCTCCATTAAAATCTCGCCGGAACCTCTTCCGAAGCAGTGCATAGTTAAATTCCAGGAGTAAAGGAATTCACAAATCCTTGGCCGTCCTCGTTCGGCGTATCAGCAGCACCAAACTACTAAGCCACAGAAGAGTCGCCGGCTGCCCATCTCTTGAGGATTGCCCAGGAAGCTCCAATTAAGTTGCTTCTTCAGCAGGTGCCCTTCGCTGCCGGGCAGATCTCCTCTGTGGAGCGGCTGGCACATCCTGCTCTGCTTCAGGCTCAACCACGGCATTATCCCCTTGTTGAGATCCTGTGTCTCCTATCAGCTCTCGTAAGAACCGGAACTGCGACAGGAAGAGGTGCCAGACAACGTACCAACCTACAGAAGGTGCCAGGAAAGGAAAAAAAAAGTTGATGTTGTGAACATCTACATAGAAAAACAAGAAGAGGCTGTGCCAGGGCAACTAAACACACACAAACACACTGTCCCATACATGAACAGATGTTGTGCGTGTAGATGTTTATGTTACCTTTGGCAGACACAGAAAGCTTAAGTGCCAGTGTGATGTAGCTGCTAGACTGTCGGGCTGTGACAGTGAAGATCGAGGTTGAAGTCCACACATCATCATCACAACCATTATTGTTTTATATACCGCTTAATCAGCAAAGTGGCTTCTAAGCGGTTTCCAAGTATAAAAGACAATTACAAAATATTAACATGTTTTAATTGAAAATACACAATAAATACACACAATTCCATCAAAACATCGAACATTTTAAACATGCAATATTTTAATAAACATTTTAAACCTGCACATTTAAAATGCACAGTAAAACAAGCCTGTTAAAACAGAATAACAATTAAAGCAGGAGGTTGGAGTCAAGAGATGGGTGCATGCTTGTCAACACCGATATGTCTCCAAGTGCCAGTAGGATGATAAAACTTCAGAGGCAGTGCTATTTTCCTAGAAAAGGAGGTGCAGGAAATCACTGTGAACAACTCCTTTGTTCTCTTATAATGGCAATGGCACCCAACTGAGAGGTGCCGGAACTGAGTTCCTGTAAGTTCCCCTCGGGGGAGCCCTGTTGCCCTGTTCAGAGGACTGTTGTAAGGATAAAATGCAGAGATGGGAAGATGTGTGCTGCCTTCAGCTCCCTGGAGGAAAGGCAAGACAACCTATCTAACTGTTGAGAATCAGCGTGGTATAGTGGTTAGAGTGTCAAACTAGGGCCACGGAGACCAGAAAGTTGTATAAATCCAGACTGTAAAATCCAGAGTTTCAAGTCAATGATGAAAGAAACTGAAAGGCAGATTGTCAAAAAGGACAGCCGTACTGCAAAAGCAAACATAGCGACAGTAAAAGCGAGCAACCTTGAATAATAATAATAATAATAATGATAATAATAATAATAATTTATTATTTATACCCCGCCCATCTGGCTGAGTTTCCCCAGACACTCTGGGCGGCTCCTAATCAAATGTTAAAAACAGTACAGCATTAAATATTAAAAACTTCCCTGAACAGGGCTGCCTTCAGATGTCTTTTCAAGATAGGATAGCTGCTTATTTCCTTTACATCTGAAGGGAGGGTGTTCCACAGGGTGGGCGCCACTACCGAGAAGGCCCTCTGTCTGGTTCCTTGTAACCTCACTTCTCGCAATGAGGGAACCGCCAGAAGGCCCTCGGCACTGGATCTCAGTGAATGATGGGGCTGAATGATGGGGGTGGAGACGCTCCTTCAGGTATACAGGAGGCTGGTTGTTAAAGGCTTTCAGGTGCTCCTGCACCTGCCGGCTACACGCTCACATCAATTTTTGTGGTTTTACAATCCCTTGTTTTCCTCTATCCAGTTACACCTCCCGGTTGCTGTGTTTTTTTTAAAAAAAATCTATGCCACAGGTCACTTTTCCGCAGGAAGCAAATACACAATTGTCACAAGACACCACCTAATGTTCAAAGCCTTTGGTGGTTTGGTGGAAAGAAGTCCCTTTTACCCAACACCCAAATGCTGAAAGAGTTAAGCTCGAGCATGTCACCTGGAAAAGCAGCAAAGCAAAAGTAAACAAAACCCAGCATCTTTTAAAAGCATCTGCCAAATTCCTACAGGGACTCAAGCAGCTGCTTTCGGTTATTGGCAATGAAATAATCTGGAACACCTCATCTCAGCATCTGAGGATAAGCAGCTGTATCGATCTCAGTCACAGCAGGACCAGAGCGACACAAGGAGAGGTGCTTGAACACAACTCCCTTGACAAGTCTGTGTTCTGTTCCTAGAATCAAAGATCTGGGAAGAACCTTGCAGGAGGAGCGATGTCCCCACCACCTCTCAAGGCAGGCCGTTTCATTGGCAAACAGCTCTTGCCACTAGGTAGTTACCACCTGGTGGAAACTCTAGCTCACATGGCCCTTAAATGTAAAATGTATGATGATCTCCGCCAACAATTTCTAGACCATCTATGTATTCCAACATGGAAACCAGAGACGGAGGTTATGCGCTTCTTATTACAGGGGAGAGACCAGGAGCTCAACAAGACAGTAGCTAAGTTCCTCTATTTGATTTTTTTTGTCGCCGAAGTACGCTACAGGATCCTGCCCTTGCTGGAAACCCACAGAGATGAGGCGGATTGCTCGCCTCTTCTGCCCTTTGGTGGGTGACTGTGCCGTTGGGGGGGGGGGGCGATGAGATTGCACTGGCCTATCTATTCTGAATGTATTCTGAATGTTCTTATGTGATGCCAATAAAGGTTACTTGACTTGACTTGACTTGGTAGTTACACCTAATGTTTGGCCGAGATCAGTTACCCTGTAACATCCACCCACCGGTTCTAGCCCTGCCCTGTGGAGTAACAGGGAGCAAACCATCTTCTGTGTGTGGCAGCCTTTCAGATATTTGAAGGCGACTCCCAGTTCCAGCCCAAGACATTCTGCTCCCTGCCCATAATCTTTAGCAACATGAATTGAAATTGAAATTTCTCAATGTCCACAAGCTTTTGTTTGCCATCAATGAAGGCCTTCAGTGAATACAGAAAAGGTCAGGAAATTACATTCCATGCATAATACATACTATACTAGGTGAAAATTGGAAAAGATTTCCAGTTTCAGGTATCAGCAATATAGATTTCCCCCCAAACTTGATGCCATGTTCAAAATGCTTTTTTTGGAAGCGACTCTAAAACGTCTAGGATTTGCATTAAAAGGAGAAAATTTAATCTATCACTTGTGTAGATGTTGCAAAAGCTGCACTTGACAATTTTCTACCCAACTCTTGTTGTGAGAGGAATCTTGCAACTTACGTGGGGGTTACTTTATGGGGATCGCACCTAAAGCCCAAATTGTATATGGTCAAAACCCATCGGCTGCAATGGTAGGTGGGATTGCCAAAGTCATTTTTCCTGGAACCTCGCCCCCTTTATTATTTATTTATATCGCCATGTATGTAAAGCTGAATGCGCACAAATAAATGCATGTAAGTTGCATGCTTACTGTATTTAACAGGTGTTTGTACACAAGCTGTGTGTCTCCATGAATTGTGAGAGTATCAGAATGTGGTGGGGAATCTCCTGTCAAGAAGGGAACCCCTTCCCGTTCCATATAAAGCCATCTGGACACTTACCTAACAATAGCTACAGGATAGCATCCTTCAATGCACCAGAGGCAGCCATGTCATTCTGTCTAATGATAAGGATCCAGCTCCAACTGCTATCGTATCACCCCTTAAGTGTCTTGGAAGTCAAAACATGCACAGCTTTTTCAGCCACTTATTTGCCTCCCCCCCAATTTTATAAACCATGCCTCCATTTCAAAAAAACGCTGCATATGTATGAATTTAACATCTACAGCTGTAAAGTTTGTTCTAAGAAAAAGTGCTTTCAATTTGACCCACATGGGTATTGAAAGAAAAACATTCACGGCAATTTAGTCATCCAGGCCAAAATCTTGCAAGTGTCTTATTTTAATGCACCAGGTGTTGTGGCTTCATTGCAAATGTAAAAACCCTGCAGGGTTCACTAACTTCTGTCATTGTCACATACCATCACCAGCGATAAGGCAGGGGGAAGGGAGCAGTGGTGCCTAGGGGTTGTGAAGGATCCATATTTCTGGATCAAGGAGCTTGGAACTGCAAGAAAGCTGTTGGTTCAGCAATGAATGTCCAGATCAAATGGCTCTTTGCTGGCAGCGTGGCAATCTGCTGGGCACTGCTCCCCTTTCTCCTCCTTTTAGGAGACCTCAGCTTTCAGCTGGGCAGGACTGAACCCCAACAATAGGCTCATGACGAGCTTACGCGACGTTTGCTGAGTCCTAAAAGACTGCAGAATGTGACACCCTTCTAAGCTTCCTAAGTCTTGGTTCAGCACTTGGTTCAACATTCCTTTCATTTTTATGAAGAGCTGCCTTATACCAGATCAGGCTGTCCATCTAGCCAAGGACTGTCTAACCCTGAGGGCCCCATCCGCACTATCCATTTAAAGCAGCACCATACCACCTTAAACAGCCACGGCTTCTCCCAAAGAATCCTGGGAAGTGTAGTTTATTAAGGGTGCTGGGAATTCTTAGGAGGCCTCTAAGTGCAACAATTCCCAGAATTCCATGGGAAGAACGGCCACCTATTAAAACCACCCTGAGAACAGGGGTCTCCAAACAACTCTCTAGCAACCTTAAGGAACTACAGCTCCCAGGATTCATTGGGAGAAGTCATGGCTACTTAAGGTGGTATAATATTGCTTTAAATGTGTAGAACAGCAGGACAGCAGCTTCCCGCATTAACTGCTACCTGATCCTTTTAACCAGAGGTGCCAGCAACTGTGCCCCCCTCCAGTGGTGCACATGCTCATCCCACTATCACCCCCGCCAGGCAATTTTCTTCCTGTGCTTTGGCCAGTTGCAAAACTTGTAGGATTAGAGATAAAACAGGGCAAAAATAAATGGATGCCAGCTATCATAGCACCTGCGGCTGTCTTAAAAACCACCAACTGCTTCCATTCAAGCCCAAAGCTCTTAAGGGTTAAATAACTACACACCATCATTCAGATAACAGACTCTTCTTAACTTCATTCCTGGCTATTTTTGGAAGCTGGACGATGATTCCTTATTGCTGCTGTTTTGGGACTATAAGCTACTGCCTGGACACCAAGATAGACTCCATCTAGCAAACTTCCACGCCACCAAAGTCCTTTTTATCAGTTTGGTCTTTTGAAAATAAATCTAGATAATCAACTCTGGTGACATCTTACAATCTCAGTTGGAATTATATTTTTAGTAAGTGTTTAGGTTTTCATCTTTTCTTGAGTAAAAAAGGGAAAGGGGACCATATTCTTTCCTCCACTCACCTGCTTCACCACAAATCCAGGGTGTGTGTGTGTGTGTGTCCTAACACACCCACACAATTAGAACAACAGGTTTAACATGAATCCATTTAAGGGCCTCTTGTCTGAGTATTCACCCCTAATAAGTGTGTGGCTTGTTTACTTTTATGTCTATCACTTATATTTATATCCTGCCTTTTTTCTAAGGAGCTCAAGGAAGCATATGTTGTTCTCCCCTTCCGTTTTATTATTAGAACAACCACCCTGTGAGGTAGGTAAGGATGAGGGTCAATGGCTGGCCCAAAGATCACCCAGCGACCTTCCTGGCTGGGTGGGAATTTGAACCCACATCCCCCCAGGCTTATTGCAGCACTTGTGGCTTTCTAGTTGGACCACAATGAGGATGATAATTTAGCATCATTCCCAAAATCAAAGCGGACAAAGAAAGGCTGGGGAAATCATTATTGTTTCATGCTATTGCACCTTTCTCTTCTTTCCCTTTTTCCCACCACAGGAAAGGGAACGGAGAGAGAGGAGAAAAGCAAGACACTTCTGGTTACTGGAAGATAGATCAATAGAAAGTACTCACCGCAAAGCACTAGCAGCAGAAAGCAAGCGAGGGCGGCCACGACGACCAACAAGGACAGGCCAATGCTTTGCCACATTTTCGCAACTAAGAGCTGGGGCTTTGCTCTTCACGGTTCCCTTGGGTTAACTTCGGGAAAGACGACGAGAAGGAGAGAGGCGACAGCAACATCGCTGCCCGCCAGGAGTGGGGAATCCACCGCGACAAGCAAACGGATGGGCTGGAGCGCGCTTGCCCCCTTTCCCGAGGGCTTCGCGCTGGCAATCAAGAGGCAGGGAGTTCCGCAGGACGAGGGTTCCAGGAGACCCGGAGATCGAAGGGTGGAACAGGGGAAATAAATGAAGCCCAAACTACACGGATTAAAAATTAGTCAGGGTAAGGAGCTCCCAGGGCTTTGCGGGGTTAAGAAAGCAAGAGGAGCGGCTGCACCGGTGGTCCCGAAAGGGAGACGTGCAGCTGAGAGTGGGCAGAGCGCTATTTCCTCCCGGCCCGGAGGCTGAGAGGCGGCAGCTCCATCGCTCCTTCCGCGGGGGGAGCAAGGGCGCCAACACCGTCGCCCCCCTCCACCAGCCGCAGAGTGGTTTCTCCCCCTCCCTGAAAACACCCCCGGCAGCCGCAAAAAAAAAAAAAGAGCCGGGAGAAGGAGGGAGGGAGCTCAGCCTCCCATCACCCGGACATGGCTGTCTCTCTCTTTTCTCCTGACTCTTTAGCGAAGGCATCATGGGAAGTGTGGTTTTAACGTAGAGGTGAGAGCCCTGGCGACGCACGGAAGAAAGAGAGTGACTGGGACTTCGATTCCCATCGGGCCTTGCGAGTGAAGGCCCGCCTTCCCCGCGCTTGGCGCAAGTTGATTGAAAGACGCGGGGGCGGTAGAGAATTGTCATAGATCCAAATCAGGGCAGTGGTTTTCTAAATCAGGGCAGTGGTTCTCCAAATCGCTTCGGATGGCTGTGGAGAGCGTTTTAGATATAAAAAATTTGAACTTTCACATACACACACATTTAAAACCACTTATTCTTTCTTCCATGTCTGCAACCTGGCTAGAAGAGCAAGGGGCTCCGGTGTTTAAATGTACACAGTATCTTTGCAAGGGAGGAGGATGGGAGGAAAATCAGAAAACAATGCCCCCTGTTAACTTGGTTGGCCACAGACCCCAGTGTCCACCCAGGTTGAATATCTTCATGCAAAAATTAAACTCACTGGGTTACAAACACAGCTTTATTAATCGTGAAACGATAGCATAGAATTTGAGAGGGTTGATGAATACTTTTAAAAGCATTGTATGTAAGAATGAATATACTGTATCACAAACATAAATGCCACTAACAAGCATACCAAATACAAAAATTGGACAGAGTGCTCCTTCTTATTAGGGCTGCCAACTTACTAAAACCATGCTTAAAATTGAGTTGTTTTGGATATGGTTCTTTTCTAGTGACATCAGCTGATGGGCAGGTGAGCGTGGTTTGAGGGAAATGGTCTCATGGGCCTAACTGGATCCTCTGGCAGACCAAGATTGGCCCACGAACCAGGATTTCCCTACCCCTGAGTAAAAGCATCAAATAGTAGGAGTGGTATTATAGGTCTGGCAAATACCTGAATAAACAGGTATGCTTTCAGTTGTCAGTGGAAACAAGCCATAATTGGGACCCACCTGATCTCCATGGGGAGATCATTCCCAAACTAGGCACCACCGTGGAGAATTAGGCAAGAGTAGGGTTGCCATATTTCAAAAAGTAAAATTCCTGACACCTGCAAAGTTGTTGAGCTTTCGTTGACTTGATCCCATTTTGTTCAATACATGAAGTGTTATCCTCATTAGGCATGTGTAATATAAATGAGTAAACATGAACATTTAAAAAAACTATCGGGACTTAAACTGCCAATGCTATACTCACCAACCTGTAAGTCCCACTGAACACAATGGGGTTTACTTCATAGATATAGACATATGTATGTATCATTTATTTTATTTTATTTGGCTGCTGAAAGAGCTCAGTCGGTAGAGCATTAGACTCTTAATCTCAGGGTTGTGGGTTTGAGCCCCATGTTGGGCAAAAAATTATTGCAGTGTAGGGGGTTAGACTAGGTGACCCTCATGGTCCCTTCCAACTCTGTGTCCCACCTTTCTCCTAGTACAGGACACAAGGTGGCTCACAGCATGAATTAAAACAAATCCAGCTACAAACACACAATCAATAGAAATATTTTGAAAAGCACAATTAAATAAGTAACCGTTATATTAAAGACAGCACTAGAAAAAAAACTTAAAACTAGTTAAAAGCACATGAAGAATAGGAAAGTAAGTACAACATCCACCCTCAGAAGACCTAGCCACAACAGCCAGTTTGCGGCCAAATACCTATCTCAAGAAATAAGTGTCTGCCACTGAAAGGAAAACAAATCCCATGTATCTGTTTAGGAACACACTGCACATGACAGTGAAATGCAACAGACAGCAGGAGGCATACATAACAGAAGGCAAATATGGCTATAATCGTTATGATAATATAAAATGGATAAGAAGGCAGCTGTTAATCCACTCCAACACACTGAATAGACGGGGTCAGGTTCAGTCAACAGCCTCCAATGATTCATTGCCAGGGTAGCTAAGGACAGCAGCAACCTTGTTTCTGATTAATGATTTTCCACGGACCAGTTGTTGTCCTTAACCTCAGTACCTTGTGTTTGTTTAGTATATAATGTGGCAGCAGGATCTAGCAAACTCTTTGTGACCTGACGTTTTCATTTCTATGCCTTGAGGAAGGCAACAAGAATTCACGTTACGTGGTATTTGCAGTTTGGCTTCTGTCCATTTCTGACACAGCAGCAAAGCGCTAGGTCCTCTCTCTTAAAATAATATTCGCTGCTGTGTGCGCCCCAGTCTCTGAGTAGTGGGAAAATTCAGGGGTGCCAGCACATTCCTCACATTTGGTTTCCTTGGAATAAAGGGGACCAGAGATTGTAACACATGCTTTTACTTACACATACATCCAGGCTGAGTATAAGTTGGAAGGTCTCGCAGCATTAACATTCCAACAAATCTTGTTCTCCGATTGGGTTTCTAGGAGGAGAGGCAAAAGCCATGGCTTTTGTTTTGGTACAGAGAGCAAGTCAGGCCTTTACGTCTTCCCAGCTACGTCTTCCCAGAGCAGACCAGTCTGGTCCTTGGCCTATTGTTCTCTTACATCTCCTATACCTTGGTCTACAGCCAGGTGAGGGAGTTAAGACCCGCCTCATTTTCTGGAACTGACACTAAGCTTGTTGTTTCTATGGCAGCACACCCTGTGCTTGAACAACTCTTTTTGTTATGTAAAAAAGAGTCTTAACAGGCTTGTATAGGGCCATTAGCTTAGCAAAGAGACTGTCTTAAATGCAATACTTTTTTTTCTAAAACATATATCTTACATTACATTCCTTTATTATTCTCATTCCTTTGCTTATACAGTGGAACCTTGGTTTTTTGAGTGTCTTGGAAGCTGAACAATTCAGAACCCGAACGACAAAAACCCAAAAGTGAATGCTTCCATTTTCAAACACGCCTCAGAATTTGAATGGCTTCCAAGGCGCATTTCTCCATTTTCTAAATGGAATTTGCCAACCGCCCATTGCGTATTGGTTGTTGAATGTTTCGGAAGTCGAACGGTTTTCCGGAACGATTACATTCGACAACTGAGGTACTACTATATTTCAAGTCCTGCCTATGATTTCATTTGACTATAGTATTTTCTAAAATAGTCTGAGAAGGGTCTCCATTCTTCCACAAGCAGTTTGTCTCTTTGGTCTCTTATTTTTGCTCTCAATTTTGCCATCTCCACATAGTTCAATAGTTTTAAAGTCCATTCCTCTTGTGTTGAAACTTCTTCTTTCCATTTCTGCACATACAGAATTCTGGCTGCGGTGATAGCATTTTGTTGTTGTCGTTTAGTCATTTAGTCATGTCAGACTCTTTGTGCCCCCGTGGACCAGAGCACACCAGGCACTCCTGTCTTCCACTGCCTCCTTCAGTTTGGTCACACTCATGCTGGTAGCTTCGAGAACACTGTCCAACCATCTTGTCCTCTGTCATCCCCTTCTCCTTGTGCCCTCAATCTTTCCCAACATCAGAGTCTTTTCCAGGAAGTCTTCTCTTCTCATGAGGTGGCCAAAGTATTGGAGCCTCAGCTTCACAATCTGTCCTTCCAGTGAGCACTCATGGCTGATTTCCTTCAGAATGGATAGGTTTGATCTTCTTGAAGTCCATGGGACTCTCAAGAGTCTCCTCCAGCACCATAATTCAAAAGCATCAATTCTTTGGTGATCAGCCTTCTTTATGGTCCAGCTCTCACTTCCATACATCACTACTGGGAAAACCATAGCTTTAACTATACGGACCTTTGTCAGCAAGGTGATGTCTCTGCTTTTTAAGATGCTGTCTAGGTTTGTTATTGCTTTTCTCCCAAGAAGCAGGAGTCTTTTAATTTTGTGACTGCTGTAACCATCTGCAGTGATCATGGAGCCCAAGAAAGTAAAATCTCTCACTGCCTCCATTTCTTCCCCTTCTATCTGCCAGGAGGTGATGGGCCCAGTGGCCATGATCTTCGTTTTGTTGTTGTTGAGCTTCAGACCATATTTTGCGCTCTCCTCTTTCACCCTCATTATACATAAACAATTTAACCAGATTGGGGGGGGGGACCTCTGCCCCTATTATTCCCAAAAGAAATGCTTCAGGCCTTTTGTGAATAACTATTTTAAACATCTTCTTCAATTCCCCAAAGCCTGTTGCTTTTTTACAAGTCCACCACATATGAAAAAATGACCCTTCGGACCCTTCAGCATTTACTTGATAAAAGTCTTATACATCTTGGTCAGTTTAGGTAAAGGTAAAGGGACCCCTGACCATTAGGTCCAGTCATTACCGACTCTGGGGTTGCGCTGCTCATCTCGCTTTATTGGCTGAGGGAGCCAGTGTACAGCTTCCGGGTCATGTGGCCAGCATGACTAAGCCACTTCTGGCAAACCAGAGCAGCACACGGAAGCGCTGTTTACCTTCCTGCTGCAGCAGTACCTATTTATCTACTTGCACTTTGATGTGCTTTCAAACTGCTAGGTGGGCAGGAGCAGGGACTGAGCAATGGGAGCTCACCCCATCACGGGGATTCGAACCGCCGACCTTCTGATCAGCAAGTCCTAGGCTCTGTGGTTTAACCCACAGCGCCAACAGTGTCCCTTCTTGGTCAGTTTATTAGGTGTTAAATACCACCTGTATATCATTTTCAAATATTTTTTCTTGAATGTATAACAGGCAGTGAATTCCATATCTACTTCCCACAACTTTTCCCAGGCAGCCATATCAATATTATGCCCCAAATGTTTAGCCTTATGTATAATTGCTGACTTAACCAGTTCGTCTTTCATTTCCCATTCTAATAACATTTTATACATTTTCAAAATCAGCTTTTCTTTACCTTCTAACAGTCTTCATTCAGTTTCACATCTTTGTTCTATAAAGCCAAATATCCTATATTTCTTAAATAGTCCATTTACTTGGTGATGTTGAAGCCATCGTGTCACCCAAACACTTCTTGTTTTTCCCCATTCACAACCATCTCCAGTAAACCTTAATATATCCCTGAATGTACCCCATTCTGCTTCCAGCATTTTATTCCATTTTCATGACTTTCCCCTAACTTTTAATTTCCCTAACATGATA